TACTCCTTCAGTTAATCAGCATGCTTTTCATCGCAGAAAAACTAAAACTTATTGTTGCATGTTCATATATTTGTTCTTTCTTATTGAATAACGTTAAAAAACGAGAAATATGAGTAAGAGAAACATTGCACAGAACAGGAAAAAAGAACAACATTACATGCTTAGATCAATGCGATTTGAACTGGTAAACCAACAAAAAAATTAAGTTCTTTACATACAATGTTTGAAAAAAACGTAAATTCTGTGCGGAATTATATACAAAAATAAAAATAAAAATAAAATTGAATTTATTCATATAAATGTTGAAAGATTCGATAAAAAATCGTTTATACTGTTATTATTATTATTATTATTATTATTATTATTAATATTATTTGATGATACTGAAATATTTGATTGATTTAGAAAAAGATCTAAATCAAAATTATTTTGTTGAAAACAATCATTATCCCAAAGATTTATATTTTCAAAAGTAGATGAAGATGGTGGTAGAGTAACATTTAAATCGTCAAATAAAAGATCAATTTCATCATTTAAATTATCCGTTAATGATGAAGAAGATAGATTAGTAGACGGAAGACTTGAAGAATCTAAAAATATTTAAATTTAATATGCAAAAAAAATTTATTTTTAATTTTTAAATGATGATACCAAGTAATAACTCGTCTAATAAACCATATGATGATGTTGATGGTGGCGGTGGTGGCGGGAGCGGCGGCGGTGGTGGTGGGAGAGCAACTGGCATTGATTTAGGATTCATAATCTCTGTTGATGTTGACTGACGAATAGCAAAAAATTTTCCATCTGGTGTTCTAATATATGATCCTTGATGAGATTTAATAAGATGAACCTTAACACCAGCTGGAATTATACCACGTTCAAATCCATTCATTTGAACTTCTAATGCTAAATAATAATAATAAAAAAATTAAACATATATTTGTATTATTCAAGAACTGACAAGAAATCTAAGTTAATACATAATAAAGAGAGTTATAGGAAAACAAGACTAAAGATTTTAACTTCTTCTTCTCAATCTAGATAGAAAAAGTTTGTTTTTTTGTTGTTCTACGTACGACTCTGAAGCGTAAGTAATTGAATTGTAATTCCTTTTTGTTTTAATTCTTCTAATTTTTGATTTGGTGTTTGATAGTTATTATATATTGGATAACGAGACTCAATTGTTGGTAAATTAGAATAATTTGAAGGTTGAATATTTTCATTTAAATATCGAGAATTATTATTCATAAATGATGAACTAAAGAAGAAAAATAAAACATTAAATTTTTTTTGTTTTAGATTTTTCTTTACTATCGTGATGAATTAAATCTTGATCGATTCAAATATGTTTTCATTCGTTTTTCATATTGATATTCTTTTTGTGCACGACGTTTTTCAGCTGATGTTAATTGATATTCTTTTTGATCCAATAAAAGAGATT